TATTGATGATGGTGATGATGGTGGTTATGATTATGATGAAGGTGATGGTGGTGATGATGGTGCTGGTGGTGATGATGATAGTGATGATGGAGGTGATGATGATGAGGGTAATGATAATGATGATGATGGTGATTATGATGATGACAGTAATCATGATGGTGATGGAGATGATGGTGGTGATGATGATGGAGGTGATGTTGATGGTGGTGATGATGGCGCTGGTGGTAATGATGATAGTGATGATGGAGGTGATGATGATGAGGGTAATGATAATGATGATGATGGTGATTATGATGATGACAGTAATCATGATGGTGATGGAGATGATGGTGGTGATGATGATGGAGGTGATGTTGATGGTGGTGATGATGGCGCTGGTGGTAATGATGATAGTGATGATGGAGGTGATGATGATGAGGGTAATGATAATGATGGTGATTATGATGATGACAGTAATCATGATGGTGATGGAGATGATGGTGGTGATGATGGAGGTGATGATGATGAGGGTAATGATGATGGCGATGATCAATAAATATGTGGAACGTGTCGGTCACCGCATATGGAAGCCAAGGTTCGGATCAATACCACCCTAAAGCCTGTAGTTTACAGCACTGCACTATGAACCCGGTGACCAAAAGTTCCATTCCTGGCCATGAAAAACATCAAGTGCAGTGATAACGCAAGCCGGTCCAGGCCCACTGCGTCACTGGCACACACTGACCGGCGTGGTGAAGTATGGTCAAACAAACGCCCAAACACTGCAAGGCATAGGGAGGCCTTTGTCCGGCGGTGCCATTCATAAAAGGGCCGTAAATGTTTATTTGTCAAATATAATTGAGACCGCCGTCCGTCTTAACCGTAGCATTGAATGAATGGTGATGGTGCGTCTGGGTCAATGAGCATCATGTCTCGCTCCGTGTTGTGTGTGTGGTCTTTTTGTATGTAATCGCTGGGAACACTTTTTATGTATTTGCGCGGCCGGTTACTCACTCAGCAACTACAAAAGCTCCCCTTTTTGAGATCCCCCCCTTCTCGGTAAAAAAAATTAAGTTAACCCATCGTTACTCTCTCTCCGCCCCCGCCCCCTCTCTCTATTTAATGCCTCGACACAGAGGCGTGGTTTCTCTGTGTGCCTATGTATGTATCTCTCTCTATGTATCTCTGTGATATGTCTGCTTATATGTCTGTCTATATGTCTCTAGTTCTGTGTTTTATCTCTCTCTCAAATTTAGCATTCTCAGGAATAACGTAATCAACCGGGTAGGGTGTTGACTGGTATGTTATCTAGATTTGTGTTTCTATTTCATTTAGACCTGATGATGATTGCTTGTATTGCAATCGAAACGTCGTATGCTAGTATTTAATTTATTATTTTATCTTTATACGTGACTTTACCGAAAGAACCAAAGAGTCAACCCATCGTGTTGGCGAAACGATTCGATATGAAACGCGCTCCCCCAGAACCACGCCGAACATGTATGTTGTATGCATGGCTAGGAGATGGTGTCTACCACGCCTGGCATACAGGAGGCCGTGGGTTCGATCCCAACCCTGACGCCTGCTGCATATTTGAAGTTTGCGTGTCTGTCTTCCCGTGGTCACGTGGATTTTTCTCCGGGTCCTCCGGGTTTTTTCCCCCTGCACATATGAGCACGTGTGGGAGGCAGTGGTGCAGTGGTGAGCTCATTGCGCGACAAACCCGGCCATCCGAGTTCGAATCCCAATGGCGAATGTTTTAACCGGTCCTGGACCTCACCTAGGTCGACTCAGCCTCAAAACGAGTACCTGGTATGGAGCGTAAACATCGCAACTAGGGATACAAAGGTGGCCGGGCGTGGTGCTGGCCACCCACTGCCTCGCGTGGCCGTTCCAGACTTCACAGGTGCCGCTCGCTAACAGCACTTGCCCCAACAGTCGGTGAAGGCTACACGGGGGGGTATCTTTGTCTTTGGTGCTGGCCACCTACCCCCGCGTGTGGACCTGCCGCCTTCATAGATGCTGCTCGCTAACAGCACTTGCCCCAACAGTCGGTGAAGGCTACACGGGGGGGGGGGTATCTTTGTCTTTGGTGCTGGCCACCTACCCCCGCGTGTGGACCTGCGGGCCTTCATAGATGCTGCTCGCTAACAGCACTTGCCTTGCCCCCAACAGTGTGTTGAAGGAGGCTACACGGGGCACCTTTGTCGTTGCGCTCCACCTTCCTCACCCTGGGTTTCCTTCAGTCTCAGAGGCCACGCGTCCCTTGCACAAAGTGTGCCCTCTCTCTCCCCCTCTCTCTCCCCCTCTCTCTCTTTTTTTTATTTTTACGATCAGAGGAAACAAGAAGATGCTCGGTGTAGTCGGCACTTTGCTTCGTTCATCATTTAGTTTTTTTTGTTATTTTTTTTATTGCTTTGCTTTATTTGCTCCCCTCCCCCCTTTTTAAATGAAAGATTTCACGAAAGATGTCACGCTCTGCTATTCTTACCCCTTCCCCCTCTCTCTCTATCTCCTCTCTCTACCCCCCTTCTCTCTCTCTACCCCCTCTCTCTACCCCCTCTCTCTACCCCCCTTCTCTCTCTCTACCCCCTCTCTCCCTACTCCATGTCTATGTTCCCCCTATGTGTTCTATGTAATATTTGTAATTTTATTTTTAAAAAAATTCTCCCCCTCTCACTCTCCCCCCTCTCTCTCTCTCCCTCGGCCTCCGAGCCGCGTCGCTCCACTCGTGAAACACACGCCAAGTAAATGAGTTTTCATTCACATTTCCGTCCACGGATCAGAGCCCCCCCCCCCCCCATCGCCACCCCACCCTCCCAATCCCCCAGAGCCCCCCCCCCGCCCTTACCCCCTCGCATCTCCACACCGCTGCCCCCCCCCTCCCCCCGAGATTGAACGTTGAGATGTGGATGGAGCAGGGGGGGTCGGCAAGCAGAAATAACAAAACGAGCCATTTTGTTGTTGTTGTCGAATTTGGCATGAAACGCAGTGCAATGTGAATACACACGTGGGGAGCGGTGGTGCAGCGGTTAGCGCACCGCGCTTCGAACCCGACTCACCCGAGTTCGATTCCCGCTCACGGCCAACACCGGTGACGAATATCTGAATCGGTCTTGGGGCCTCCCCCTAGGTCGGCTCGGCCTCAAATGAGTACCCGGTGCGGTGTGTAAGCATTGCCACTGGGGAGACAAAGGCGGTCGGGCATGGTGCTGGCCCACCCACCCCCTCGTGTGCCGTTCCGGCCTTCATAGGTGCTGCTCGCTAACAGCACTTGCCCCAATAGTCTGTTAAGGCTACCCGGGGGGTGGGGGGGGGGGGCGATCTTTGCCTTTGTACATTAAGTCACGAGGTCAGTGCGACGAAAGAGCCGCGGGGGTTGCCGACCTTCCCCCCCCCCCCACTCCCCCCCCGAGACGGAGCGCGATGGTGCTGCTGATGGTGAAAATGGAATGCAACGAGAGGAGGTCAATGGTCGGTTCATTTCCATCACCGCCACGCGATCATTTTCGCACCCCCCCCACCACTTCCACCCCCCCCGCGCGCCCCCCACCTTTTTGTTTCGCTCGCTCTAAAAGGTTCACGCGTAATGTGTTTATTACTCGTCGTATTTTGGTTATGGATGGGGAGGTCGCGCTACGGTGAATTTACACGGAGTACAAAATGAAACCGACACGGAGCAGGTTGAGAAAGAAAAACGCACAACAGGATCGGAATATTTTTACTGGAGGAATCCGATGAGCAATGAAGCTCTTTGGTGTTTCACATGTCCCTCTCGCCCACTTCAGCAATTGTTTCTGGCTGTGGTTGTCCCACCTGATGACGGACGCTTGTGTTGCACCCGAAACGTCGTGATTTAATTTCTTTTATTTATACCCACGTGACTTTACCGAAAGAACCAAAGAGTATGGATTCTTGCAGTCACGAAAGCTTCAAATCAAGAAACAAACAACATCATCATCATCTTGTGCATGGCCATCACCGAGACCTCACCTACATAATCCGCTTCTCAGGTGTGCGCAACGCCTCCTGTCCTCTCTCTACCGTTTGCCCGGAGCGCCGATGTCGCCACGGTCGCGCGTCGTTTAATGGCACCGCGCTGATGGCACTCGCAATCAGAGGCCGCCGGCTTCCATTCAATCTCTCGGCGCGGCATTTACAACAACGGGTCGAGTTCATGAACCGACCCCCTCCCCCACAGCCCCCCCCCCCCACCCACCCCCCGTACCACCCCAAACAGAGGCTGTCCCCAAGGTGCGACGAATCAGGGCGACTGCCCCGGGCCCCGCGTGTTGGGGGACCCCGCGCTCCTGCGTCGCGGTGGCAGATGTAATACTTCCGTTTCGGTTTGAAGGCATCGCGGGGGGCGGGGGTAATGGGGGGGGGGGGGGCTACAGAGTGGAGGTGGGCGGGCGAGGGGCCCCGCCCCCCCACCTTGGACATCTCTACCCTTGCCTCTGAGTCTCCGGTCGCGTGCGCTGGGGCAAAGTGTGGCTGACTGCCATCTATTCCACGACGTCTCGTGAGCGTGGAAGCGTAGACCGAGAAGTCGAGAGTTGACAGCTCTCCAGCGCCCCCCCTCCCCTCCCCTCCCCCCCTCTAGAACATTTGAAGAGGGACGTCTCCGAATGTTGTTTTAGTTTTCCAGAGCGGCCAACCCAACCACCCGAGTTCAATTCCCGACCATGGCTAACAACACAAGCGGCGAGTGATAACCCGAACCTGTCCTGGGTCCGCCAGTACTCGTGCGCTGTGCGGGCACTCGTAGGTGCTGGTGCCTGCCTGTGTGTGTGTGTGTCTGCTAACAGCACTTGCCCCAACAGTCTGTTAAGGCTATACGGGGGATCTTTGTCTTGCCAGTTTGTGTGTGTGGAGTTGGCCACCAACCCCCTCGCGTGCCGTGCCGACCTTCATAGGCGCTACTCGCTAACAGCACTTGCCCCAACAGTCTGTTAAGGCTATACGGGGGATCTTTATCTTTGTGCGTGTGTGGTGTGTGCATGTGTGCGTGTGTGCTTCAGCCGGGAAGAGGCGGTGGCGATCGACAAGGAGCTGAGAGAAGACTACGGCTTCACGCCAGAGCAGCTCGTCGAGATGATGGGCATGGCGGTGGCGCACGCCATCACCAGGGTACGCACAAAGACAAAGCTGCCCCGTGTAGCCTTTGCCACGCCGATGGGGCAAGTGCTGTCGGCGAATACCTACAGTTTTCCACTCCAATGCCCCTACCATCGGAATGCAGCATTTCCCTAGCCCCTGATATAGATGTTAACTACCTCGCTTGGTACACAGGAGATCTGCGAAATATTTGGAATTTGCATGGAAATGTTTTTTCTCCGTTTTCCCTCCACATTCAGAATCAACACGCGGTTAGAGTACTTGGCTGAAAAAGAAGCCATACAGCTCAGTGGGTTATACCTGCCAAGTAAGATGGACCGGTGCAGTTCCACGCACGTTTGGACAGTGAGACGCTTTTCAAGTTAATTGGAGCCTCTGTCTGGAGCTGTCTCTCTCTCTCTCTGTGTCCGGAGCATCTCTCTCTCTGTCTCTGTCATGGCAAGATGCCTTTTAGTGAAGCCTAATTGGCTGTGCACGCTTTTGTACGGAATTGCGCATCCGTGCGGTATAAAGCACAAAAAATACGTCGACCACCTGAGTGCTTTGTCCACCCCCACAGAAATATGAAATCAGTTCGGGGAGAGCTGAGGGGGCTAGCATCGCCATGGGGGAGGGTCATCCGGCAGTGGACTGATCAAAAATTGGATCGTACATTGGTGACTCGGCTGAGACCCAACCACAGGAACCGATCCAGGTATTGTGAATACTGTTTGGTTCTTTCGGTAAAGTCACGTGGGTAGAAAATAAAATAAATCACGACGTTTCGGGCGCAACACAAGCGTCTGTCATCAGGTGAGAAAGCGTGGTCTGCTGCTGAGGCAGACTGTTATTAAAAGGTTTGAAATGGATGTAGCCCAAGGGTCATAAATAAGTGGCCTGGGCTGGTGATGTTAATGTAGGTTTGATGACCGCAAGAGAGAGAGAGAGACAGGGAGGAGGAGGTTCCGTGGGGCATCGCAGTGGCTAAGAAATGTTAACTACTTCGCCAGGTATACAGGAAGTTGTGGGTTCGATCCCGACCCTGACGCCTGCTGTATATTTGAAGTTTGCGTCTCTTTCTCTCATCATCATCATCACAGATGCTAGGAGATGTGAACTACCTCGCCTGGTATACAGGAGGTTGTGGATTCGATCCCGACCCTGACGCCTGCTGTATATTTGGAATTTGCATCAATCTCTCTCCATCATCACAGATGCTAGGAGATGTGAACTACCTCGCCTGGTATACAGGAGGTTGTCGGTTCGATCCCGACCCTGACGCCTGCTGCTGTATATTTTAAGTTTGCGTGTTTTCTCCCTCTCTCTGTCTCTCTCCCCCTGGTCGCGTTGAATTTTCTCCTGAAATAACGAATTGAGGTCCTCGGTAACCTCCTGCAGGCTACTCCCGTGCCACCACACTCCACACTACTTGACTGCAACTCGATGATCCGGGTTGAGTGGCATGTGGAGTTCTGTACCAGACGTCCCCAACACATCTGGTTTTCCGTCTGCAGGCAGCGCCAGTATTGCCCCGTGCTGTCGTTCTCAGACGTGTAAATGATGCCCGCAGCGGCATTGCAAAGTAATAGCCGTGCCGCAGTGACGAGAGTTTATCTCGTCAGCCAGACCTCGGGCCAGATTACAGTAACGTGCGTCCCTTTATTAATCCACTGCTGGATGAATGCCTACCCCCCACCCACCCACCCATCCGTCACGCTGTGTCGTTCATGGGGGTTATTTGACGATTCATCACCGCTCCGGTCAATGCCGGGGTTGCCAAAGTGATGAGCGGATAACCCAGTGCCGGTTTAGATATCGCGCATCGGCCAACGAGCGACGTCTGAACCGATCCCGGACACCCCCATGGGATTTTAAACGATCCGCTCCAAATCAGCGCGGCGTTCCCCTCGCCGGCGTGGGGTCGTGGGGGCGCCCCCCCCTCCGCCACCCCCCGCCCCCCGCCCCCTTTCGTGTGTTCCGCGGGGCTCAGAATAGCCACGGTGGTCCTCTCTGTAGTTCAAAGTCTCTCGTCACGGAGCCACCTTTGTGGTGGTGGTGGTGGTTGTGGCCAGAGGCCGTCCCGAGGGTACACGGCGAATCGGGGCGACTGCCCCGGGCCCCGTGTGGGGGGGGGGGACGCGCTTCGATGTGACGGTGTCAGATGGAGTTTTACTTCTGGTTTAGTTTGAAGGCGGCGAAGAGGGCCCACAGTGTGAGTCGCCCACGCGCCCCTGACTAGGGACGGCCCCGATGGCGTTATCGTTTCTCGCGCTGTTGACAAAAAAAATCGACGGGACTTGACGTGCCTTTGCAATGCGTACTCATACACCTCATACACCGCATGTATTTATATTTAGTCGCTCGCTTACCTTTCCTCGACTCTTCACTGCTGTGGTGTTTTTTTGTGTGTTGTACTGAACATCCGTGGACAAAAGAGATTCAAAGCTCATCGTATTCCTCCAGCGTGAATAGATATTCTGACAAAGCCTGCCTGCATGGGCAACCAGCATGCATAGCAGGTGGCTACAGGCTGCAGCGCGAGCAGAGTGCGGTGGTGACAGCGACGAAGTATAGTTTGAGGATAGGTTTTACCCTTTCTGGCCATAATACAAGGGAATCATGTCTGCGTTGACCACACGAACTTGTGGCGTACATGCAAATAAAAAACATGCTCTGGTAGTATTTCATGCATTGTATTTGAAACTGATTGGTCCACACCAGAGACAGCTTCTATTGAGACCAGACGACGCCAAAAGGCGAACAGCAAGCGAGGTCCCATGATCAAGTATAGTTTTATCTCTGTTTTATCTCTCTCTCAAATTTAGCATTCTCAGGAAGAACGTAATCAACCAGGTAGGGTGTTGACTGCTATGTTATCTAGATTTGTGTTTCTATTTCATTTATACCTGATGATGATTGCTTGTGTTGCAATCGAAACGTCGTATGCGAGCATTTAATTTATTATTTTCTCTTGATACGTGACTTTACCGAAAGAACCAAAGTCGGGAGAGAAATTGACAGTTTCTGTTGTTGTTTGTTTGTTGTAACATTCTGACCACGCCCCGACTGGACATCCGCGGACAAAACGAGCTTCATAGCTCATCGGATTCCTCACCCCCCCCGCCCTCCCTCCCCACCACCACCAGCGTTCGAGTCCTCGTTAACACGGCAGTGGGAAGTTGCGGAGGTCTTCATTTTGGACCGGGAGGGCCCTTGCACAAACCGCTGCGCTCACTACCGTCTCTGCGAGGGGCAGCCTGCCACACAGCCTCAGCTCGTCCTCTTCGTTTTTTTTTCTCGTTTCCCCGCTAATGGCAGCGGCCTCTTGGGGAGGCTTCAGGAGGAGATGACCGCCCGCACCTTTCGCGAAAACCGCGAGAAACTCGCCCGGGCTTGGCGGCTCACGAATTAAGGTCGAGGGACGGAGGGAAAGGGGGAGTTTGACGCTCGCACTCGAATGCAGCGTTGTAAATTGACACTTTTTTTTTGACCCCGAAAATAAATGTCACTAATTGATTTGTGTTTTGGAGGGAAGGAGGGGCGGATATTCAGGGGGGGGGGACGCTCATACCCCCCCCCAACCCCATCCATTACCCCGAGCCCCCACCACCACCACCACCCCGCATAACAAAGACAAAGATCCCCATATAGCCTTAACCGACTTTTGAGGCAAGTGCTGTTAGCGAGCACCTATGAAGGTGGGAACCGCACACGAGGCGGTGGGTGGCCAGCACCACGCCGGGCCGCTTTTGTCTCCCTAGTGGCGATGTTTACACACAACACCGGGTACTCGCTTAAGGCTGAGTCGATCTAGGGGGAGGCCCACGACCGCTTCAAATATTATCGCCACCGTTTATCGTTCGTGAGTGGGAATCGTAGTGGTTTTTTTTTGCCGGGTCTGTAGCGCAGTGCGCTAACCGCTGTGCCACCGCTCCCCACGAGCACCGGCAAACAAAAGATAAAGACCCCCCGTTTAGCCTTGTACACCCCAGGGGCAAGGTGCCGTGAGCACACACACACACACACCGCTTCCACCTGTGCACAAATAACCTTTTGAAGAAGAATGAGATCAATAAGGGGGCCCATTTGTTTGTATGCCACACAAAAAAATTATTACGTTGAATTATTAAAACTATAAACAATGTTTTTTTTTTATTTTTGCCACGTAAGGGCCCCACTGAGCTACACTGCTGGTTTGTCAGAGGCGACCCGGTTATCACAAATGACAGCTCGACAAAGTGCCCAATCGTCGCGGTGGAAATTTATGGCATCTAAACACTCGAAACGCGCGATGTCGATTCTAAACTTGGAAGGGAAACAAATCCCGGAGGATCTGGAGAAAAATTCCCCGCGACCACGGGGAGAGAGACACGCAAACTCCAAATATGCAGCAGCAGGCGTCAAGGGTCGGGATCGAACCCACGACCTCCTGTACACCAGGCGAGGTAGTTAACATCTCCTAGCCACCGTGATGATGATGAGAGAGAGAGACACGCAAACTCCAAATATACAGCAGCAGGCGTCAAGGGTCGGGATCGAACCCACGACCTCCTGTACACCAGGCGAGGTAGTTAACATCTCCGAGCCACCGTGATGATGATGAGAGAGAGAGAGAGACACGCAAATTCCAAATATACAGCAGGCGTCAAGGGTCGGGATCGAACCCACGACCTCCTGTATACCACGCGAGGTAGTTAACATCTCCGAGCCACCGTGATGATGATGAGAGAGAGAGACACACAAACTCCAAATATACAGCAGGCGTCAAGGGTCGGGATCGAACTCACGACCTCCTGTACACCAGGCGAGGTAGTTAACATCTCCTAGCCACCGTGATGATGATGAGAGAGAGAGAGACACGCAAACTCCAAATATACAGCAGCAGGCGTCAAGGGTCGGGATAGAACCCACGACCTCCTGTATACCAGGCGAGGTAGTTAACATCTCCGAGCCACCGTGATGATGATGAGAGAGAGAGAGACACGCAAACTCCAAATATACAGCAGCAGGCGTCAAGGGTCGGGATCGAACCCACGACCTCCTGTATACCAGGCGAGGTAGTTAACATCTCCTAGCTACCGTGATGATGATGAGACACGCAAACTCCAAATATACAGCAGGCGTCAAGGGTCGGGATCGAACCCACGACCTCCTGTACACCAGGCGAGGTAGTTAACATCTCCGAGCCACCGTGATGATGAGAGAGACACGCAAACTCCAAATATACAGCAGCAGGCGTCAAGGGTCGGGATCGAACCCACGACCTCCTGTACACCAGGCGAGGTAGTTAACATCTCCGAGCCACCGCGATGATGATGATGAGAGAGAGAGAGACGCAAACTCCAAATATACAGCAGCAGGCGTCAGTGTTGGGATCGAACCCACGACCTCCTGTATACCAGGCGAGGTAGTTAACATCTCCTAGCCACCGCGATGATGATGATGAGAGAGAGACGCAAACTCCAAATATACAGCGGGTGGCATCGTCCATGTGAGTCTCGTTCATCGCCACTCGAGGAGTGTGGCCACGGCGCGGATGTATAATAGAGACGACGCGGAGGGTTGATTGTTTTTTTAAAATAATTTTCACTGTCATTGTCGCCTTTCGATTTAAAGCTTTCGTGACTGCAGGGATTCATCTTCTTGGTTCTTTCGGTAAAGTCACGTAGAATGGAAATAAAATAATATTATTGAAAATAATATTATTATTTATTATGGAAATAATAAAATAATAATATTATTTCCATTCGACGTGACTTTACCGAAATAACCAAGAAGATGAATCCCTGCAGTCACGAAAGCTTAAAAAAATATCTAAGATTTTTTAAACGTTCATTTACATCTGTTCGACCGGTGCGGAACGAACATTACTCAACGTGGCAGTTGGCACAGCCCCCAACAGGCTGTTACAGGCTACACGGGGGATCTTTGTCTTTGTCACTGTGCCCCCCCCCCGCCCCCCCACAGGCTTTCCCTTTGGCCTCGTTGCCCCGCAAGCAACCCACGGGCCTGGTGATCTGCGGGCCGGGCTACAACGGAGCGTGCGGCCTGGCCTCGGCACGCCACCTCAAGATGTTTGTGAGTGCCGCGTGAGAGAGCGGCTTTGGACGAGAGCTCCGTGTGCTCAAGGAGAGCCGGCGTGCTGCGGCTCACGACGACGACGACGATGATGACGACGACGACGATGATGATGATGATAATGATTTTTTTCGATTTAAAGCTTTCGTGACTGCAGGGATTCATCTTCTTGGTTAATAAAATAATAAAAATAAAACATAATAAAATAATATAAAATAATTTAATATTATTTTATTACTTCCCTTCTACGTGACTTTACCGAAAGAACCAAGATGATGACGATACAACCGGCACCTGCTGATGATGACGATAAACACCATCGTGATGCAGCTTCTACAGCGATCCTCAAGCTGCTGCTACTGCTGCTGTTACTGATTTCGCTCATGATATTGGTGCTGCTGCTGATGATAATAGGATGGGATGGGATGAAAAGAATCGGAAAGAGAGGAGGAGCTAACAGAGAATGGCTTGATGATGATGACGACGACGATGACGACATATGAGATTGGTGCCAGAGACACGTGGCGCACTACGTCAGCATACTGTCACGTGACGGAGGAAAGTGGAAACACGTGGCGACATGTGATGATGATGGTGATCATGATGACGGTGATGATGATGGTGATGATGACGGTGATGATGATGGTGATGATGGTGATGATGGTGATGATGATGATGGTGATGATGATGATGACGGTGATGATGATGGTGATGATGGTGATGATGGTGATGATGGTGATGATGATGATGGTGATGATGATGATGATGACGGTGATGATGATGGTGATGATGATGATGGCGATGATGATGATGGTGATGATGATGATGACGGTGATGATGATGACGGTGATGATGATGACGGTGATGATGATAACGGTGGTGATGATGATGATGATGACGGTGATGATGATGATGACGGTGATGATGATGATGGTGATGATGATAACGGTGGTGATGATGATGATGATGACGGTGATGATGATGATGACGATGATGATGATGATGGTGATGATGACGATGATTATGATGATGACGGTGATAATGATTATGATGGCGGTGATGATGATGATGATGGTGATGATGATGATGGCGGTAATGATGATGGTGATGATGATGACGGCGATGATGATGACGGTGATGATGGTGATGATGATGATAACGGCGATGATGATGACGGTGATGATGATAGTGATGATGATGACGGTGATGATGATGACGGTAATGACGATGATGATGATGACGATGATGATGGCGGTGATGATGACGGCGATGATGATGACGGTGATGATGATAGTGATGATGATGACGGCGATGATGATGACGGTAATGACGATGATGATGATGACGGTGATGATGATGACAGTGATGATAATGATGTTGACGATGTTGGCGGTGCCTTGCGTGCAGGGGTACGAGCCGACCGTCTTCTACGTGAAGCGGTCCGTGAAGCCGCTGAGCCAGGCGCTCACCACGCAGTGCGAGAAGCTCGACATCCCCTTCCTCTCGTACCTCCCCACCGAGGTGACGATCCGTGTTGAGTTGCGCGCCCCTGCGATAACTAGGAGATGTTAACTACCTCGCCTGCTATACATGAAGTCGTGGATTCGATCTCGACCCTGATCCCTGCTGTATATTTGGAGTTCGCGTGTCTCTTTCTCATCATCATTATCATCACGGTGGCGAGATGTTAACTACCTCGCCTGGTATACATGAAGTCGCGGATTCGATCCCGACGCTGGCGATGCCTGTATATTTAGAGTTCGCGTGTCTCTTTCTCATCATCATCGTCATCATCACAGTGGCGAGATGTTAACTACCTCGCCTGGTATACATGAAGTCGCGGATTTGATCTCGACCCTGACGCCTGCTGTATATTTGGAGTTCGCGTGTCTCTTTCTCATCATCATCGTCATCACGGTGGCTAGGAGATGTTAACTACCTCGCCTGGTATACATGAAGTTGCAGATTTGATCTCGACCCTGACGCCTGCTGTATATTTGGAGTTCGCGTGTCTCTTTCGCATCATCATCATCGTTATCATCACGATGGCGAGATGTTAACTACCTCGTCTGGTATACAGGAGGTCGTGGATTTGATCCAGACCCTGATGCCTGCTGTATATTTGGAGTTCGCGTGTCTCTCTCTCTCTCATCATCATCACGATAGCTAGGAGATGTTAACTACCTCGCCTGGTATACATGAAGTCGCGGATTTGATCTCGACCCTGATGCTTGCTGTATATTTGGAGTTCGCGTGTCTCTTTCTCATCATCATCGTCATCACGGTGGCTAGGAGATGTTAACTACCTCGCCTGGTATACATGAAGTTGCAGATTTGATCTCGACCCTGACGCCTGCTGTATATTTGGAGTTCGCGTGTCTCTTTCTCATCATCATCATCATCGTTATCATCACGATGGCGAGATGTTAACTACCTCGCCTGGTATACATGAAGTCGCGGATTCGATTCCGACCCTGATGCCTGCTGTATATTTGGAGTTCGCGTGTCTCTTTCTCATCATCATCATCATCATCGTTATCATCACGATGGCGAGATGTTAACTACCTCGCCTGGTATACATGAAGTTGCAGATTTGATCTCGACCCTGACGCCTGCTGTATATTTGGAGTTCGCGTGTCTCTTTCTCATCATCATCATCGTTATCATCACGATGGCGAGATGTTAACTACCTCGTCTGGTATACAGGAGGTCGTGGATTTGATCCAGACCCTGATGCCTGCTGTATATTTGGAGTTTGCGTGTCTCTCTCTCATCATCATCATCACGGTAGCTAGGAGATGTTAACTACCTCGCCTGGTATACATGAAGTCGTGGATTCGATCCCGACCCTGATGCCTGCTGTATATTTGGAGTTCGCGTCTCTCTCTCTCTCTCTCATCATCATCACAGTGGCGAGATGTTAACTACCTCGCCTGATATACATGAAGTCGTGGATTCGATCCCGACCCCGACGCCTGCTGTATATTTGGAGTTCGCGTGTCTCTTTCTCATCATCATCATCGTCATCATCACGGTGGCGAGATGTTAACTACCTCTCATGGTATACAGGAGGTCGTGGATTTGATCCCGACCCTGGCGATGCCTGCTGTATATTTGTAGTTTGCGTGTCTCTCTCTCCGTGGTCGCGTGGATTTTTCTCCGGGTCCTCCAGGTTTTCCCTCCACGTTGAGAATCGACATCGCGCGTTTAGAGCGTTTGACTGCTGTACATTTCCACGTGATGGTGATGAGCCACTTCGTTGAGCTATCGTTTGTGGCCACGGTGGTTTCTGAAAAGAAAGCTACTCAGCTCAGTGGGCTTTGCCTGGCAAAAAACAACAACAACACATTATTATTTTATTTCTATTCGAATTTTTATTAGTTTTATTATTATTTTTTATTTTTACCTACGTGATTTTGCCGAAAAAAACCTAAGAGTATGAATCCTTGCAGTCACGAAAGCTTCAAATCTATAAAACAACAACACAGTTTAGATCTCAGTCTGAGTGAGTAGCGACACTCGCCGCTGTCCCCACCCGCTCCTTCCATTAGCACGATCGGCTACGTACGGCGCACAAGAAGTTCAACACACACACAGCCGTGCACTTCTCCTCGTCGTCTCCTCGTCACAGCCCTCCTCCTCACCCTCCTCACCCGTGCAGGTGCAGCTGATCAACGACGCCTACTGCTTCGTGGTGGACGCGGTGTTCGGCACGGGGCTGCGTGGCGAGGTGCGTGAGCCCTTCCTGAGCATCATGAACACGCTGCGCCAAGTGAAGGCGCCCGTCGCGAGCGTGGACGTGCCCTCTGGTGAGCCCCTCCCCCCCATCCCCCCCCCCACCCCAACCCCCCACCTCATCACCCCCCCCCATCTCCCCCACCACCCCACACACCGCATCCTCATTGGCCACAATCGGAGTGCGTCCGTTGGACTTTGTTCGCGGGGGAAGGACAAGGAACTCGACACACGCGGAAAGCATTGGGGGGGGGGGGGTGCTAGGGGGGGGGGGGGGTGCTGGGGGTGGGGGTGCTGGGGGTGGGAGGGGGGTTCTGGAGGGGAGGAGGGGCTGAGGTGGGGGGGGATGGAGGAGGTGGGTGGGACGTGGAGGTGGGGGTGGATGGAAGGTTGGGGATCAGGGGGGGGGGGATGTGGGGGAGGAGGGGGGGATGGAGGTGCGGCTGGGGAGAGGGGTTGAGGGAGTGGGGGGGTGGAAGAGAGGGTGGAAGTGGGGGAGGATGGAAGGTTGGGGGAGGAGGGGGGAGGTGGGGGGAGGTGGGGGTGTAGGGGAGAGGGTAGAGGTGAGGGTGGAAGGAGGGGGTGGAGGTGGGGTAGGAGGGGGGTGCTGGAGGGGAGGTGAGGCTGAGGTGGGTGGGGGATGGAGGAGGCGGTGGGAGGTGGATGGGAGATGGGGGTGGGTGGAGGAGAGGGTGGAAGTGGGAGAGGTGGCGTGGAAATGGAGGAAGGAGTGGGAGGTGAGGTTGGGTGGGTGGGTGAGGGGGGGGCGTAGCGAGAGGATGGGAAGTGAGCGAGGTGACGAAAGGGGAAGGACACAAATAAACAAACAAACAAATACACAAACAAACAAATACACAAATAAACAAATACACAAACAAACAAAAACACAAATAAACAAATAAAAAAACAAATACACAAACAAACAAATACACAAACAAACAAATACACAAACAAACAAACAAATACACAAACAAACAAATACACAAACAAACAAATACACAAACAAACAAATACACAAACAAACAACTACACAAACAAACAAATACACAAACAAACAAACAAATACACAAACAAACAAATACACCAACAAAAAATACACAAACAAACAAATAAACAAACAAACAAATAAACAAACAAACAAATACACAAATCGTGCCTTCCCCCACCCCGTGGCTCCCGACCCAGGCTGGGACCCGGACTTGTGCGGGAACGGCTCAGCGTGCCCAGGGGCGACTGGCACCGCTGGGCCCGCTGGGGCACTGCAGCAGCAGCAGCAGCTGCAGCAGCTACAGCTGCAGCCCGATGTTCTCGTTTCGCTGGGGGCTCCCAAGCGGTGCGCTGAGCGCTTCGCGGGGCGCCTGCACTTCCTGGGAGGGCGCTTCCTCCCGCTGGACATTCACAAGAAGATGGAGCTGAACCTGCCCGAGTACCCTGGCACGGACTGCATCGTGCCACTGCTCTAGCCCCGGACATCGACGGCAGCAGCAGCAGCAGCAACAATAGCGGTGGTGGAGTTATCCCTGGTGCCTGCCTGCCTGCTTGCATGTGTGTGTGTGTGTGCTAACGGCACTTGCCCCAATAGTCTGTTAAGGCTATACGGGGGATCTTTGTCTTCGTCTTTGTCTCGACGAGTGTCAGTCTGAAGGCCGCCCCAGATGCGGTGATGTTTGCTGGGATCTTTGTCTTTTGCGTGTGTGTGGGTATGTGTGTGATGTTGGCCACCCACCCCCTCGTGTGCCGTGCCGGCCTTCATAGGTGCTCGTGAACAGCACTTGCCCCAGCCGTCTGTTAAAGGCTACACAGGGGATCTTTGTCTTTGGGGGAGCGGTAGTGCAGCGGTTAGCGCACTGCGCTACGAAACCCGACGAACCGAGTTCAATTCACGCTCTTGGCCACCAACACCGGTGACGATTATCTGAACCGGTCCCGGGCCTCCCCTAGGTCGATTCGGCCTCAAATGAGCACCTGGTGCTATGTGGAAACATCACTGCTGGAGAGACAAAGGTGGCCGGGCGTGGTGCCGGCCACCCAGCCCCTCGCCAACAGCAAGGGGCTGGGTGGCCAGCGGCCGTCGCTTGCGTTGCGATCGAAACGTCGTCGTTTTTTGTTGTTTTATTTTATTATTCCTTGAAACCTATCTACGTGACTTTACCGAAAGGCCCAAATAATATGAATTCCTGCAGTCACGAAAGCTCCAAGTCAATAATGTGTGTATGTACATAAAAAAATAAAAATCCATACATTTCCAATCCACCAATGGACCAAAGCCCCACGCCCCCCCTCCGCCACCAACTCTTATTCCGTAGGATTATCGAACTTTAATTTACTGGGCTGGTCAGTTCATGTTGACTGAATGGGGGGGGGGGGGGGGGGAAGGGAGAGCAAGGGGCAAGACTAATTCTGAAATCTCTCACCGCCAATGTTAGCCGTGGGCCGAGAGAGTTAACAAAAACACGCAAACTCCCGGTTCACCGGGGCTCATCGCGCAGAGCGCCGCTCCGTCACTGCGTGCGAGTTAGCGAGCGCCTATTAACACCGGCAGGGTGAACAAAACATGGGGGGTGGTTTCGGCCAGCCCCATGCCCGGCCGCCTTTGTATTCCCAGTGCTGATGTTTGCGCACCGCGTAAGTTGCTCATTTATAGCTAAGTCGACCTAGGTGGAGGACTGGTACAGATAATTGCCACTGATGTTGGGTGCTCGCTAAGAGCACTTGACCCACAGGCTGATAGAGGGCACACGGGGGACCTTTGCCTTTCTTGATGTGTGTGGGAAGTGGTGGTCCAGTGGTTAGCGCACTGTGCTTCGGACCCAACGACTTTGGTTCAATTACTCACCAAGGGTTAATTTCAGTGGCGAGTGATACCCGTGGCCCGATTGGACATCTCCTAGGTCAACTGGGACGTAAATGAGCACTTGGTGTACAGGTGCGTAAAGTATCAGCACTGGGGAGACAAAGGCGGCCAGGCTTGGTGCAGCCCACACTACCCCTTTGTGTGCCCATCCAGACTTAATAGGTGCTCGCGAACAGACCTTGCCTCAACTGTTATGTTAGGCTTTCAAGGGGGGGTCTTTGTTAATGCATTTGCGATACTAGGCTAGGTATGAATCTGGAATCATATTTGTAGCATTGTTTTGTTGGTCTCTACATAATAGAGTCTCAAGAGAATTAACTTAACAAAATGGTGTCTGATGGGGTCTCTAGACAATAGATTGACCGTCTATTGTCTCTAGACAATAGACTGACCGTCTATAGACAATAGACTGGCTGGTCTCTGATGGGGTCTCTAGACAATAGACTGACTGTCTATTGTCTCTAGACAATAGACTGGCTGGTATCTGATGGGGTCTCTAGACAATCGACTGACCGGTCTCTGATGGGGGTTTCCAGACGACTTACAGACTGACAGTGTACAGCGTTTTTGATCACCACGTAAATGCAACCGAGCAGTCAAGAATTTAGTCCTGGGACTCAGATAACCCCGTTATTTCAGACATCTGCCTTTTTCAAAATCCACCCCGCCGACCACACACACAGTTGGCTAATTGCGGCTGAGTGGACCAACATTAATAAATTAAGAAAACATCTTCAGCGCCGCAAGGAAACAGCTTGCAATGCACGCATGCGTAGCCTGATACGAGGGTTGTGAGAGTGTTTGAGTTTGAGGGAGTGTGTATGTGTGCGTGCGTGTGTGTGCGTGTGTGTCTGTGTGTGTGTGTCTGTGTGTGTTGGGGGGGGGGAGCGGCGGTGTAGCTGTTGGCGATTCTCGCTCACGGCTTACCAACACCCAGTGATGATTGTCTGAAGCGGTCCTGGGCCTCCCTTAGGTCGACTCAGCCTCTAATGAGTACCTGGTGCGGTGTGTAAACATCGTCACTAGGGAGACAAAGACGGTCGGGCGTGGTGCTGGCCACCCACCCCCTGGTGTGCTGTGCCGGCCTTCATAGGTGCTCGCTAACAGCACTTGCCCCAACACTCTGTTCAAGCTGCACGGGGGATCTTTGTCTTTTTTGCGTGTGTGTACGCGCGTGTGTGTACGTGTGTGTACGTGTGTGTGTGTACGCCTGTGTGTACGCGTGTGTGTGTACGTGTGTGTACACGCGTGTATGCGCGCGTGTGTGTGTACGCCTGTGTGTGTACGTGTGTGTGTATACGCCTGTGTGTGTGTGCGTGTGTGTGTATGCCTGTGTGTGCGTGTGTGTACCTGTGTGTACGCGTGTGTGTACGCGTGTGTGTGTACCTGTGTGTGTGTGTGCGTGTGTGTGTACGCCTGTGTGTGTGCGTGCGTTTACAGGGTCCGTTAAGTGATCGCCACGATGGTGTGCCAGTTGATAATAATTTAGGCTGAATACTAGTTACCTTGCACCTGTTTGGTTGTGATATTTTTAATTTTACATTTTCTCCACCCCCCCCCCCCATTTGTCCAATTCATTCTATAAACGTCGGATTGTGTTTTTTGTGTTTTTTGTCCTTGAAAAACGGCCTGGAGTTTGAGACGTCTGAACGAACGTTCTCAAACCGGAATTTGTTGTTATTGTTGTTGTTTTTAAACAACCAAAAACATATTTTTCACGTGATTATTAACCGAGGTTTAGCAGCCAATAGTAAAGTGGCAGCACCAACGCGATCACCGAAATTCTCCGCATCATGAGACGCAACGGAAAAGGGTGCCCAGTGCCAATAAAGTTACATAAATCACTCCGATACAAAGGCAAATGTCCCCTGTGTAGCCTCTAACAGACTGTAGGGGCAAGTGCTGTTAGCGAGCACTTATGCAGGCCGGCACGGCGCACGAGGGGGTGGGTGGCCAGCACCACGCACGGCCGCCTCCCCCCCCCCCCCCGTAGTAGCGATGTTTACACATCTTACCAGGCACCCATTTGAGGCTGAGTCGACCTAGGGAAGGTCCAGCACCGGTTCAGATAATCACGACTGGTATTGGCCGTGAGCGGGAAACGAACTCGGTTTGGTGAGTCGTAGCGCAGCGCGCTAACCACTGCGCCACCGCTCCCCATACGCACTCACACGGCTACCTGATTATAAAACGTACCGCGCAAACTTTGGCCTTTAAACACAGCGGGGGGGGGGGGGGTGAAAGTGCGTCTTACAATCCGGAGAATTCGGTACACAGGTGATCGCTCTTGCATTGACAATTGTTTATCTCGCTGTTTTCACAACATCCCTTTTCACATCGTAAGTGTGTGCGTATCTAGTCCTCGGTATATATATCTATAATTTTGTTCGTGTGTTTTACCAGATCGACTTCTCAGACACCTTCGATGTCTTCGAAGTCGAGACACCCGCACAGCGCAACCAGCTCTCGATTACCTACCTGGGGGCAATCTGCAGGGTGGCGGGTTGCGAGTGGCCCGGATAAAAAAAACAACAACTCTCAATCGTATTTATTATACAGACAACGGCGGTGACGTCTCGGCCGATCCATTTGCTTTCTCAAAACGGCACCGGTTTCACTTTGCGGTCAGACGGGGGCGGTGGAGGGGGGGTGACGGAGAGCCCCGTGAATCCGCTAACCCCATGCGACAAGTCAGGAGGGGCTCGTCCCGTAATGGGCCCTGGGCATGCTTCAGCGAGGGCGCTAATCGAGAGTGGAGCCGTGGCTTCGGAGTGTCCCCCATCTCCTCGAGTGCTACCGGAGCTCACGAGCGTGTGCGCGAGCGAGCGAGTGAGTGTGCGTGCGTATTGGTGCTTGATTTTATAAAGTAGCGACGTCAGCGCGCACGTGTGTGAATTTAGCCTCTTTTACCGTTAGATGGTCGGCCGCGAGAAAGTCAAAATGCGTCGCGTTCTCAAACAAGATCCACTCGCTGGGCAACCCCAGTGGGAAACCATCATTCCACGGTCTCTCACGTAGAAGGACAACGATCGCTGTGATAATGATGATGATGATGCGATAAGAAAAAACATGCATGTGCGTCGGAGAGTTTATTGAGCAGAGCGATGCCAGCGGATGAGATCGAATTTGGTCAAACAAAAATCACGATACCAAGAAGCACAATGCACGTTGTGAACACGAGACGGTGGCGGTCCTTCATAAATGACTTTCACGACGCAGTTCCTTGAACGAACCGCGCGCGGCTCCCGTGCCGTAGGTTGCCGACCCCTACGTTGAACCATGGTAGGAGAGTTTAAATTTTAATGCTACATTATTCACTCTGGAAAGCCACACGTTCTCTGAGTCTTAAGCCGTTCTTGTTTTCAGATTCTGAATATCTATTTACACTGGAGGAATTCGATGAGCTATGAAGCTCTTTTTCACAGATGTTGCAGTCGGGGCGGGTAGGAACGTTACAACAACAAAGAGTACAAAAACACGAGAGTAGTGCAAAGTCCAAGAAAGGTAAACAAATCACCCAAACACAAACAATTACAACTAAACCATCCCCATCCTACCAGGCAAAGCCCACCGACGTATGAACTTATTTTTCAAAAGCGACCTGGCCACAAATGATAGCTCAACAAAGTGGCTTATCATTTGCACATTTATAGCAGTAAAATAATCGCAGGAGGGTCCTGCCCAGGGGATCTTGTGGCGTGATGTGGTGGTTGGTTCCTAGTGGCCACTGAACTCATCCTGCCTCTGCTGATGCTAGGATGACCCAACGACACCTCTGCCCGGGTTGTGGAGCTAATAGTCACTACCCAGAGACTCATCTGCCTCGGAGACGCCATTGTTACGTAGGTTCACATCGCTCCAACCTCTGCATTGGGATGCATGCTGAGGATGCTAGAAATAAAATTGCGGGATAGGGTAAGCGACTTGGAATTTGGAAAGAGGATTTGGCAGGAAACCTGTAGATGTAGTCAGGCAGAGGAGGTGGTGACGGGTGGGATACGTGGCAGGATGAAGGAGGGCCGGTTACTGAGACAGATGGAGTGACATCCAGAGGGGAAGATCTGAAACCACGTGGCGGTGATGAGACTGTGAGAGCAGATGTTGGAGATCGAGCATAAGGAAAGAAGTGATGGTAAGGTGAGGTATCATCAGCGCTATTGGCCGCTCCGCTATGGTGTGATTTACACTCCTGCAGACTGCCTTCGCTTTTGATGGTTGTACTGCACTGCAACTATGGGTCTCATCCCAAGACCAGAAGTCCCCCTTGGCCACCAACTTCAGACAAACTCGACTCATCGTGTCGTCGTCCTCCCACGATAAGTGCCGATTTGGAATTATGGAGATTGCAGGAGAGCGTGGCTGTTGTAAAGACAGGTGAGCCCCAACTCCAGTCGTTGTCTTTTAATCGAACAACATGGCCAGATGCGTAGGAGTTGCTCACTTCCAGAAAGAAAAAAAATAACAAATAAGGATTAAAAATATACTTTTTGGGTGTAGAAGGTATGGGTATTAAGTAATCTAGAGCTATGAACCCTCCACCACCTGACACAGCTAAACAAATCAAGTTGTCGAATGTGCCGATTGGTTTAAATTTTCCGCAAAAAAGTAACCAAAATCAGACAATTTTGTTTACGCATGAAAACTTACTCCGTAGGATCGATCGTTATCTTTTAAAACACTTAAACACGACTTTCGATAAAGTCCCTTTTAAAAATGCATATATATAAGAATGTGTGGTGTCTCCTTGGAACTCAATGAAACGGATCTGGCACGTGCTTGGCATAGGCCTACACGAGGCTTCGATCGCATATCCGCCGGAGCCATTGAGAGATTTGCGCTGAGTAACGTACACGCAAGAGGAATTCATATTCTTTGGGTCTTTCGGTAAAGCTACGTAGATCGAAAAAATATTTAAAATATCACGACATTTCGATCGCAACACAAGCAATCTTCATCAGGTGAAAAAAAAGGTTTATAACATCCGGCCTCAGCAGCTCTCTCGCTATTTTTTCACCTGATGACGATTGCTTGTGTTGCGATCGAAACGTCGTGATATTTTTATTAATTTTCTTCTATCTACGTGGCTTTAACGAAATACCCAAATAATATGTTGTACACACAGCTCATTCGCTGGCTGAAGTTCGACCGCTAATGTGAAAAAATGTGACCTTGGACTTTCATATTCACGTCAAATGTCTTTGTGCCTATGATACAGATGTGACAACGCCGCTATAGCCTGTAGATTATTCTGACCTAGACAGTGGTTTGTGTGCGTCCATTTCCGTCTGTGGTTGTGTACAGGAGGGCGATAGACCTGTACGGCATTCAAAGTTGTTTGGTGCCATTATTCTGCATTGAGGTTCGTGGCATTAATAAACACCTGTATAGACAATAGTTTTAGACTACTGTGTTTGTAATGTTCCCAGCTACAGTCGACATCGTCAGCCATTATCTATCCACTGCTGGATGATAGCCCTCTTTACGCTGTTGCCATCTCTTGTGCCCTTGCGATGCAACGATCCATTCCCCCCTTTTGCCTGCCATTCTTTGAACATCTCAGCCATCCGCCATCGTCCCTTTCAGTAATGTGTTCTACCCAAGCGCCAACAAGTCAATATGACGTTTGATCTGCAGTTGTTCTCTGGTCTATGTGCGGTTCCTCTTTTTCTCTCTGTCCATGCTTATTTGCGCACTTTTCAGATGTTCCATTTTCTTGATCGGTGACCATGTTTCTGAGCCATGCTGTACGTTGTTTATATCATCATGAAAAGCGACACCGTCATGCCTGAATATGAGTTTTCAATCGGTGCGCATTACCTGCAATGACGCATGGTGCACAAATATTGACACCACGCCGCAGTATTTAGCGTAAGTTACAGTTGTCTTCATGCCACGTGAGACTGACAGATTTCGTGAAAATGTACCCAACAAAATCGTATAATCTGCCGACTAATTTCTCTCCTGGGTGGCGATATGAAGAATGTTTATATTTTCGTTCGAGAGTAACTTTTGCTTCTGCTTATAAAAAAAAATGAAAACGTGGGACTGCTATGTTTACAATTACTCACGGATATGTTTAACTCCACTGTGCATACATCGGAGTTAAAACCGTTCTTGGTTCTGCCGCTGCCGGTGTCATCAGGAAGTGTCCCATTCACCATCCTTGCAATACCTCTCCCCCAGTGTTCTTCAGTAATTTTCAGAGGTGGTGGGAGGCAGCATTTTCGCCGATAAGACATCATCGGTGTGAGGGCCGCCACACATTTGAAACTATTGGGTTTGGACAGCACGATGGGGATGTTTTCACATTTGTGTTATTGTCGGGGGGGCCGCACTACAGGCCACAAAGGCCCACACAGTGGCCCACGGGCCTTGCAATGGAGAACATTGCTATATGAGATGTTTTGACACGACGGCTATCCCACGCATTCTGCCACGCGTTTTTGCCACCGGACGTGACGTTTTGCTCGAAAGGCTCGTCTTTGCTTCCGCCATTTTTTTTCGCGACCGCTGCAGCGCAGCCGCCTCCTCGTGGCTGCCAATGGAATTGCCACGTGGCCACCAAACTTCGTCGACTAATTGAGTAGCGAACGAGAGAGGGAGGCAAGCGTGAACGCTTCCAACGCACGCGTTTCGGCAACGACAGACTTTGACGAAGGGCTTTGTAACCTGCCTCGCGTTAACCATTCAATGGATCGTATCAATAGCCACCCTGTAATTGTGTCTGCGTGTTACCCTTCACGTTACGATTAGCTCCTGTGTAGTGACCGCCTCTTGAGACTATGATGCCACCTACGAGTCTGAATGTGTCGGACCCTCCCTCCCCATCACCAAAACTTTCCCATTAAACATAAGCAGCTGTAAAACTATCTCGTGGTGAAGTGGACTTTATTTTCACACTCTTCTCACAAGCCTGTATTTGGAGCGCTAAAATTAATACGATATTTTCGTAATGTAATACAATGTCAAGGTAATATATATTGTGAGGTTTTTTTTAAATATTCTCTCGGATTTCAAGTATATCTGGCTAAAGGACACTAACAGGAGCACTTTTATTTCCATGTTATATTGGGGGTAACAATTATATACAGGAGTTTGAATTGGGAATCTATGAACGGAAAGTTGAAAACACCCCCGTGAATCGTGGTATAGTCCAAAGTGAATCTAGTTATGCAGGAGGTCAGTCACATTGCATGCTTTCATACATCATCAAACGGCAAAAACATTTGATGTTACATTTCGCATGTAAATTTCACGCATCACATATATTAGTGTCATTGAACCCCACCTAACCCTTCGTGGTAGAGACCAGCCCACAGAAGCGGACATCACAGAGTTGTATGTATGCATGCTGAACTTTTTTCGCACCGTACGTAGCCAACCGTGCTAATCGGAGATGCGGGAGCAAGGACAACAAACGACAAAAAGCAATGATGAAGAAATTCGTTTTCATGATCTAGATGATGTAAACGTGCATAGCTCCAGTGGCTTCCTAATATCGGTAGGAAGAGCGTTCCAGACGGCCGCAGACGCACATCTTAAAGCTCACGACACATTGGCCGTCTTTGTTCGATGGCCAGCCAAAATCAGCTGCGAAGATGACTGGAACGACCTCGTCCAATGACCTTTCGATTGTCCAGACACGGGAAGTGGGGCAGCACTTCCCCATCCCGCCCTGCCTCTTTGAGCAACATATGTGTCACATGACGGTCGAACTGAAACGTTTAAATTCAAATGTTATTCTTACAGGTGGAAGTATTCAAATTAGATCTTGCCTGAAAGCTTTCGTGGCTGCAGGGATTCATATTTGTAGTTTCTTTGAACCTATCTACGTGCCTTTACCGAAAGACCCAACTAATAGCATTCAAATTAGGTGCAGGAGGACTATATTTAACCCCCCCTCCACTCCCCACCTCGAGCTATTGTTGCTGAGCCTCGATGTCCCCCCACGCGTTACACCACGCGGCGTGGTTTGATGTCCCCCACGTTCAGAGTGAACCACGTGACTCCGCGCGCGCGACTCTCTGTGTTGCATTGACGTCACAAAGCCCCGGGGGCATTTCCAAAGGAGCCCCACGTCACTTCTCGTCGTCACCAGCCCGAACCCTACATCCCACTGACGTTACCGTGAGCACTCTAATTAATGCATGTACGCACGCAAATAGGTAAAGCCCACTGAGCAACGTTGTTCTTCATAATCAACGTTTTTGGGTTTAGATCGCGTTATTTATAAATGTGTCGTAACACTCCACCACCCGACACGGCCAATCAGTAAAAAAAGTGTCACGTTGACAAAAGACAAATAGTTCACTGCTTTAGCCCACCGGTGTGTTGAAGCGTGAAACCACAACATTTACAATTTTTGAGTAGTACGACGTTTCGCTGGTAATTGCATCCAGCATCATCCGGGCAATTCGCCAGAAGCGACCTGGCCACAAACGATAGCCCGACGAAGTGGCTTATCACGTGGACATTTATAGCAGCAATCTTCATTTGCAGCTTTCGTGACTGCAGGAATCCATACTGTGAGTATGAAAGAAGCAAAGAGTATTTATGTCCGCAGCCAAACACTCTAAACGCGTGGTGGTGTTGATTGTAAATGTGGAGGGAAAACCCGGAGAATACTCCATGCAGACCACCACACCGACGCAACACGCACACTTTAAATATACAGCAGCAGGCGTCAAGGTTGGGATCGAACCCACGACCTCCTGTATACCAGGCGAGGTAGTTAACATCTCGCCACCGCGGCGGCCCCAAATTAAATGTCAAGTGTTGCTGGATACCGTCTAGACAACGAATGTGTCTGGAACTGCCGATTGTGCGGTCATTTTTGACGGTCGCTTTGCCTTTTGAACGTAGGCTTTCGCGACCAATATCATCCATAATACAGGGTTTTATTTGGGTTAGATCGCGTAAATATATAAATGTGTGGTTAAACCCGCCACCACCAAATTGGCTGTCGCCTGATGAATCTAGTTGTAGTTGCTGGCAAAACGTCGTACTCCGATTGTAAATGTTGTGGTTTGGCTCTCCAACACACCGGTTAGTGATGTACTAGTACACTACACTATACACTACACTATACACTACATTACTCTACACTACACACTACTATACACTACACTATACTCTACACTACACACTAGTGCTGTACTAGTGACGAATTGGCCACGTTCTGTTTACGTGACAACCCTTACTAGTTGGCTGTGCCGGGTGGTGGCGGGTTTAACGACACATTCATATTTATTTACGCGATCTAATCCACAAAACCTGTCTCATGGTTGCCTTTTGGAGTTTGATGGGGAAAGATAATATAATTGTGATCAAACACAAGCCTCCGAGATTGCCGCCCCTCCCACACACAAATACAAAGCTCCCCCTGTATAGCCTTAACAGACTGTTGGGACAAGTGCTGTTAGCGAGCACCACCGATGAAGACCGGAACGGTACACGAGGGGGTGGGTGGCCAGCACCACGCCCGGCCGCCTTTGTCTCCCTAGTGGTGATGTTTACACACCGCACCAGGTACTAATTTGAGGCTGAGTCGACCTAGGGGAGATAATCGTCACTGCTGTTCAGGGTAAACGGAAATCGAACCCGGGTCGCCGGGTTCCTAGCGCGGTGCGCTAACCGCTACACTACAGCGCCCCACACACACATCCAATATAACCGGTATTTGCCATACCGTATATCCCATTGATGACATTTTAGAGTCCTGCCAATTGTTCGCAGTAAGGGATGATGCAACACTCATCTTCACACACACACAACAGATTCCGTCCCTCCCTTAAAACAACCCCCATCTCTTCTCCCGAGCCCATCATGCTGCCCCCGCTCCCCATCTACCCCGATCACTACCCCTATCAGTACCCAACCCCTATCACTACCCCTATCACTCCCCCTATCACTACCTCAGTCACTACCCCTATCACTACCCCTATCACTACCTCAGTCAATACCCCGATCACTCCCCCTATCACTACCCCTATCACTACTTCAACCCCTATCACTACCCTTATCACTACCCCTATCACTCCCCCTATCACTACCTCAGTCACTACCCCTATCACTCCCCCTATCACTACCCCTATCACTACCCCTATCAATACCCTTATCACTACCCCAACCCCTATCACTACCCCTATCAGTATCACTATCACTACCCCTATCCCTCCTTCACCACTCCCACCTGTTCTGCTGTCACCATAACCCCACTCTTTCTTTGAAGCGCCATCACCTCACGTACAATTGTGTCTTTGTTGTAAAGCGCCTTGGATTAAGGCGCTATATATAATGTATATATATAAGATGAGCGTGGCGTGCGCCTACTGCGTGAACTTTGCCCGCACTGACGATTTGAATTTCGCGCGTGCGTTGCGTGCGCCACGTGTCCATAACCGTGCGCTCAAATTCACCCGCGGCTCTTAAACTCGTTCATTTTTTTTATTACAAACTTTATTCAACAGCTCTTTTTATGAACACATATAATGCCAGTTTGACGGTATTTTTTTGTTAATATATTTCAAACAAAAAGCAACTAAATTAAAACATCGTCCCAAATTAGGCCTCACTCAAACAGAAGGGGCTTGAGTGACCCCAGGTCCCTGATCGTGGAGGTCCGTCCAGTTGGCCGGAGCCCGCGTCTCTCTTCCGCTCTCTCCCACCACTCTCTCCATCACTCTCCCACTCTCTCCACCACTCTCCCACTCTCTCTCGAACTCTCCGACACTCTACCACTCTCTCCACCACTCTCCCACTCTCTCCACCACTCTCCCACTCTCTCCACCACTCCCCCACTTTCTCCTGCACTCTCTCTCGAACTCTCTCCCACACTCTCCGACTCTCTCCCGCACGCGACCCTCAGCTCTCGACTCGCCACGGCTCCTCCGCACCGATCGTGAACTCCGCGGCGCCGCTGCCGTTCCTGCCCAGGCCACTCTGCACACACACAAAGACAAAGATCCCCCGTGTAGCCTTAACAGAGTGTCGGGGCAGGTGCTCTTCGCGAGCACACATGAAGGCACACGAAGGGAGGTGGGTGGCCAGAACCACGCCCAGCCACCTTTGTCTCCCCGTTGACAATATTTCGGCACCGCACCATTTTCGGCCGTGGGGAGAGAGGCCCAGGACCGGTTCGTATAATCGTCGTCACCGCTGCTGTGCCGTGAGAGTGGCGAGTCGAACTCGGGTCGCCGGGTTCGTCTGCGCAGCGCCACCACACACACTACGGGCTGCACGATGGGCGCCGGTGTGTTCGAGTGATACCGCAGAACCTGTTTAGAATGATTATTTGTGTATCATTATTATCACAGCATTATTAACGTTCAGCCCTTTTGAAATAGAAATTTGGGGGGGGGGGCAACGTCCCCCCACCAGCCCCCCGCCGTGGCATAATTGGTGGGAAACTGCTCCCCCCCTCCCACTTGAGAATGTTGAGTTCCACGCCTCTGCCATAGAAGTCGTGCGCGTGATGCTCGTGGTGTTCCCGTGCTCGCGAGCGCGCGGTGGCAGAGGTGGGGGTGGTGGGGTCTGGTGGGGGGGGGCTGGTGGGGGTCTGGTGTGGGGGGGAGGCTGGTGGGGGTTGGTGGGGGGGGGCTGGGGGGGGTTGGTGGTGGGGGTCTGGTGTGGGGGGGGCTGGTGGGGGTTGGTGGTGGGGGGTCTGGTGGGGGGTGGGGCTGGTGGGGGTTGGTGGTGGGGGTCTGGTGCGGGGGGGGGGCTGGTGGGGGGCTGGTGGTGGGGGGGGGGGGGCTGGTGGGGGTCTGGTGGGGGGAGTTAGGGGGGAGGGGTCTGGTGGGGGGGTTAGGGGGGAGGGGTCTGGTGGGGGGGGTTAGGGGGGGGGGGTCTGGTTGTGTTGGGAGGGTAACGCGACTGCAGCGAGCGTGACCGCAGCTCCCAGCCGCACCTCGCCACCGACTCCGTCTCCGTGCCGCGAGGCGCCGCCCTTGAGCGGCACGAGCTCGGCCACCTCGTCCCACTCCTCGTCCTCCTGGTGGAGGCCCCCGCGCCCTTCCTCCCCGCGCCCCGCGTCCACGGCCTCCAGCTCGGCGAGCGAGAGGTGGTGCACGATGGCGGCTCCGAACGCGTCTCCCAGCAAGTTCACGGAGGTGCGCAGTCGGTCCCTGCACGATCAACCCCCATCACCCCGCCGCACAGGTGAACGATGGCGAGATGTTAACTACCTCGCCAGGTATACTCTTACACTAAACCGGCTTCATGTTCTTGGTTCTTTTTTCGGTAAAGTCACGTAGAAGGGAAATAATAAATAATGAAAATATAAAACAATAACATTCTCACGACGTTTCGACTGCAACACAAGGTGTGGATTTCACACCTGATGATGATTGCTTGTTTTATATTTTATATTATTTTATTGTTTCCCTTCTACGTGACTTTACCGAAAGAACCAAGAATATGAATCCCTGCAGTCACGAAAGCTTTAAATCAAAAAACTAATCCGGTTTTTTAATTTGACTACGGAGGTGCGAAGTCGGTCCCTGCATGATCAACCCCCATTACCCCCCCCCGCCCCCCGCACAGGTGAACGATGGCGAGATGTTAACTACCTCGCCAGGTATATTCTTACACTAAACCGGCTTCATGTTCTTGGTTCTTTTTTCGGTAAAGTCACGTAGAAGGGAAATAATACATAATGAAAATATAAAACAATAACATTCTCACGACGTTTCGACTGCAACACAAGGTGTGGATTTCACACCTGATGATGATTGTTTGTTTTATATTTTATATTATTTTATTGTTTCCCTTCTACGTGACTTTACCGAAAGAACCAAGAATATGAATCCCTGCAGTCACGAAAGCTTTAAATCAAAAAACTAATCCGGTTTTTTAATTTGACTACGGAGGTGCGCAGTCGGTCCCTGCATGATCAACCCCCATTACCCCCCCCCCGCCCCCCGCACAGGTGAACGATGGCGAGATGTTAACTACCTCGCCAGGTATACTCTTACACTAAACCGGCTTCATAGTCTTGGTTCTTTTTTCGGTAAAGTCACGTAGAAGGGAAATAATAAATAATAAAAATATAAAACAATAACATTCTCACGACGTTTCGACTGCAACACAAGCAATCATCATCAGCTGTGAAATCCACACCTTGTGGATATTTCTCTGCCCCTCCCCATTTAGCAACATGCTTTTAGACTCTTTGGCTACACTGTAAATGTTCACGCGATAAGCCAATTCGTTGAGCTGTCGTTTGTGATAGCCAGGCCGTTTCTGAAATGAACAACCAAAAAATCCATAGTTCAGTGGGCCTTACCTGGTCAAATAATACCTGATGACGGTTGCTTGTGTTGCAATCGAAACGTCGTACTATATTATTTAATTTAGTTATTTTCTACGTGACTTTACCGAAAGAACCAAAGAGTAAATACAAACTAGTTTGGGTTGAGTAGTGCGTCCCTATCGCTTGCGAATTTCCTAGAGATCAGATGAACTAACTCTGCCCTTAATTCTAGATTTGAAGTTTTCGTGACTGCAAGAATTCATACTCTTAGTTATTTCGGTGAAGTCACGTAGGTAAAAAAAAATGAAATTAAAATTAATAAAAAATAAAATAATAAAATCACGACGTTTCATCACACTTGATGCAGCAAATCTGGCTGTGACGGTCCCCCACCTGATGACGGAGACTCGTGTTGCCTCCGAAACGTCGTGATTTTTTTTATTAATTTCATTTTTTTTACCTACGTGACTTTACCGAAAGAACTAAGAGTATTACTCTGCCCTGCAGAGGGGATGGGGGGGTGGGGGTAACGCTCACAGGAACCAGTCGACAGCCACCAGCAGACTGATGTCAGATGTAGGGAGTCCCACGGCTGTGAGGACGATGAGCATGGTGACCAGGCCGGCACTCGGGATGCTGGCGGCACCCACGCTCGCCAGCGTGGCCGTCATGCTGGCGAGGGTTGGGGGGGGAGGGCACGGCAGCGTTAGACGACCTCGTGATACTGGGGAACGGTGGTACAGTGGTTAGCGCACTGCGCTACGCCCGGCCACGCACGAACTGTCAACCCTTCTCTCCTCCAGCCACCCACGTGACCTGGTGCACGTGACGATCACGATCTGTCAACCCTTCTCCCCTCCAGTCACCCACGTCACGTGGTGTCCCTGACGATCACGATCTGTCAGCCCCCTCCCCTCCAGCCACCCACGTGACCTGGTGCACGTGACGATCACCATCTGTCAACCCTTCTCCCCTCCAGCCACCCACGTGACGTGGTGCACGTGACGATCACGATCTGTCAACCCCCTCCCCTCCAGCCACCCACGTGACGTGGTCCAGCCACGTCACGTGGTGTACCTGACGATCACGAACTGTCAACCCCCTCCCCTCCAGCTACCCACCCACGTGGTCCAGCCACCCACGTCACGTGGTGTACCTGACGATCATGCTCTGCCAACCCCCTCCCCTCCAGCCACCCCACGTGACGTGGTCCAGCCACCCCACGTCACGTGGTGTACCTGACGATCACGATCTGTCAACCCCCTCCCCTCCAGCCACCCCACGTGACGTGGTCCAGCCAGCCACGTCACGTGGTGTCCCTGACGATCACGATCTGTCAACCCCCTCCCCTCCAGCCACCCACGTGACGTGGTCCAGCCACCCCACGTCACGTGGTGTACCTGACGATCACGATCTGTCCTCCGTCGAGGGCCACGCCGTTCATCTGCGCGATAAAGATGGCGGCCACCGCCTCGTAGAGTGCCGTGCCGTCCATGTTGATGGTGGCACCAACGGGCAGCACGAAGCGCGTCACCCGCTTGTCGATCTTCAGGTTCTCCTCCAGGCAGCGGAACGTGACGGGAAGGGTTCCGGCGCTGCGCCCACAAGGCACGTGCGTTGTTGTTAGGCTCTGTACGTACCGTTGGACTTCGTTCGCACCGTACGTAGCCAAGCGTGCTCTGCAAAGGGTAACGCTACTTCTAGATTTGAAGCTTTCGTGACACGCAAGGATTCATACCCTTAGGTTTTTTTCGGTAAAGCCACGTAGGTAAAAAGTAATAAAAATATAATAGAAATAATAGAAATAAAATGAAAAATCACGACGTTTCGGAGGCAACACAAGTCTCCGTCATCAGGTGGGACCGTCACAGCTCAATTTAACAGATAGGTAAAATTCCACCACGTAGAGGGTATTCATTCTAGATTTGAAGCTTTCGTGACTGCAAGGATTCATACTCTTAGGTTTTTTCGGTAAAGTCACTCTACGGGGAGGAATTTCACCTATCTGTTAAATTGAGCTGTGACGGTTCCGCCTGATGATGGAGACTTGTGTTGCCTCCGAAACGTCCTGACTTATTATTTTATTTCTATTATTTCTATAATATTTTTTTAAAAAATTTTACCTACGTGACTTTACCGAAAAACCTCAGAGTATGGTAACGTTACTCTTTGGTTCTTTCGGTAAAGTCACGTAGGTATATTTTATTTTTTCTACCTACGCGACTTTACCGAAAGAGCCGAAGAGTACGGATTCCTGCAGTCACGAAAGCTTCAAATCAAAGGTGACATTGCAAAGGCTTCCTTGCAAGCTGGATATTATCTCGTATAGATTTATGTAGATGTTTGGGTGTTGAACTTCTTTTGCACCCTACGTGGCCAACTGTGCTAATCGGAGGCACGGGGGCAAGGGCAACACACAAAAGGCAGTTCTAGAGAAATTAGGTTTCAATCTAAGTTTGAAAGTGCATTGCTCAAGTGGCTTCCTAATATCGAAAGGTGCGGTCTGAGGCTGCTGCTGTTGTTGTTGTTGTCTTGCTGCCTTGCCCCAAGGCTTGCAATTGATGTGGACAAATTGGTAACAAATTATTTGCACCTGCGAATAGTATTTATATGCCTGATTTATTTTTAGAGACTTGCCTACCGATTTTTGGCACCTCCGATTAGCACGGTTGGCTATGCATGGTTACATAAGCTCAACACATCTTAGCTCTATATTACACTCCCATCGTGTTTTTGTATTGTTGTTGCCACTCACTGACCCACGGCTACTTGACATCCGTGCCAAAACAAAAACATTTCATAGCTTCATAGCTCATTCGATAAACAAAGATGCTGACAACTTACGGTGCTATGGATGATGATCCTAGTGATGATGATACAAATTTTGATTTAAAGCTTTCGTGACTGCAGGGATTCATATTCTTGGTTCTTTCGGTAAAGTCACGTAGAAGGGAAATAATAAAATAATAGAAAACAATAAAAATTCTCACGACGTTTCGACTGCAACACAAGCAATCATCATCAGGTGTGAAATCCACAGCAAGAAGATTTGATGATACAAATACTAATGACACTGCTGCTGTTCAAAAATATTATCCAGATTCATGGTGCTGCTACTGATGATTATCATGCTGTTGTTGACGATAGTGATCATCTCCTCCTCCTATACTGTCAACATTATTTTACCGATGTTCGTATGTTTGTCAATTGGAACGAGCTTATCAATCTACGACGACGACGACACCGCAAGTTGTCGACAAGCGCGCCATCGATCACCGCCCTTTGCGAGCGTGGGAAGAGGAGAATCCGAACCAGGATGCGGTGCCCAGAGCCATGAGCCACGCTTGGAAGACGCCCACGAAGAATTTGATGGGGTTCTTGCGCGTGATGACGAAGTAGACGAGCGGCAGGATGACGGCGCCGTGGATGAGGAGGCCCACGATGACCGTGAGCATGTACATGCCCAGCTGGCGCATGACCACATGCAGGTCGCTGAGCTCGGCGATCTTGCCGCAGATGAGCGACGCGATGCCGATCGGAGAGTACCTGTCCCACGCGGGCACAGACACGCGGGCACCGCCGCCTTTAGCGCCCAACGCTCCGCGACTCCGCAAGCGACGATGCATGGCGAGTTCGCGATTCATTGGCGGGTTGGAACCTCATTTGCAAGTGAAAAAATATGATAATTGTTTTTTTTACCCTTTTATCTGGCAACAAAACTGACGCTTTTTTTCACAAGGAGTCATGTTTGCATAGACCACAATACCTGCAGTCATAATGCAAACAAAAAAAACATAACTCTGATAATGTGCACTGTCCTTGAAGTCCAATGGTGTAAATGCTTACCCCGAGCTCTAATACTCTGATGGTGCATTGTCTTTGAGTTGTGCGCCTTTTGGCGTCATCTGGTCCAACCCATGTGAGACTAGGCTCTAAGGAAAGCTGTCTCGGGTGTGGACCAATCAACTTCAAGGACAGTGCACATTATCAGAGTTATGTTTTTTGTTTGCATCATGACTGCAGGTATTGTGGTCTATGCAAACATGACTCCTTGTAAAAAAAAGGTGTCAGTTTTGTTGCCAGATAGAAGGGTAAAAAACAATTATCTCATTGGCGGTTGTTGTTTTTTTTTGTGTCTTTAATAAATGGCTTTTTTTGGTGGGTTTACTCTCCAACACACCGGTGTGCTGTACTCGTAAGGAAATTGGCATTGTTCTGTTTACGTGACAAACCTTACTCATTGGCTGTGTCGGGTGGTGGCGGGTTTAACGACACATTTATATATCTACGCGATCTAGTCCGAAAAACCTCTATTATGGATAATTTTAGTTGCGAAAGCCTACTACGTGTTAAACACACATACACACACATACACACACACATACACACACACACATACACACATACACACACACATACACACATACACGCACACACATACATACATACATACACACACATACACACACAAACACACACAAACACACACACACATACAACAGTTCCGTGGAGGGGGCACCGGTCGCGAGCCACCGCTATCGGCGGTCGAGGCGCGCGCTCCCTGTCGCCGCACTCGCCAGATGACGATGATGACGAGTCGCATGATGACCTCGTTGAGGACGCTGAAGAACTTGAGCATCGGCGTGGCCTCATCTCCCATCTTGCCCATCACCACTCCGAAGGCGATGACAAAGCAGATCAAGCCTACGCAGAAGCACGCGGTGGAGGTTGGTGGCTTGACGATGCGCAGGGATGCGCAGCTGCGCCCCGGTTTAAAAGCTCGCAAGCGTAGAGAAGGGAGGGAATGACCGTGGCCGAGAAGACCTGAAGCTTCGTGCGGAGTGATAGACCAGGTAGCTTCCACACAGCGTTACGCAACCGATAAAAAGATAATGCCGCTCGACTGATTCGGATTGAGACCTCTGCTGTTTAACCGGAGCCTGTCATGAGCACACTGCCCAGGTATGGGAAACTCTCCACTCTCTCCACAACTGCCCCATCACCGATGGTTCAAAATACCCAGGCAGGTGCTTCGTTTTGGTGGGGCCAGGTCCGCGTGTGCCAATTCGTTGGAGGCAACGTGGCCGTCCCAATAACATGCTCGCCAGCAGCGGCGGACTTTGGCTAAGCCATCGAACAATGACGCTCACCGCCATCGCGCGCTGTCAGATGCGCTTCTGCGGCCGTCTGGAACGCTCTTCCTTCAGACCCCCCGAGAGAGAGGGATGATGAGCCGAGTCAACCCCCCCTCCCGCCACGCCCCTCCCCCCCGATCAGGATTTGAACTGGAAACTGTCCGATCGCTCGATCCGAACTGATGGAGCCAGCCACCGCGTTGCTCCGTTAACTGATTTGTCGATCTCTTTTCTTTCCCCGTGGGATGAACGTTCGCTCAAAGTCACGCGAACGTTCGCCGAACAGGACAGTAACAGCCCCACGCACAGCGGCTTACCCAGCACGTTCATGCCGTCCGTGTAGACCAACGTCTTGGTGGTGAGGAGCTGGAAGCCGTTCGCCTCGCTGGAGTTGCTCGAGTTGTACGCGGGAGCCGGCGTGGAATCATGGAGGTCCGTGACGGGAGCTTGGCTTGAACTCAGGTTGGCAACGTCTCTGGCCAGCGTAGAGGGCACCACCACCGTCGTGGTCACCGTGTGGATCTTTGCGCGGGGGGGGGGGGGCGAAGGACACCAGCGGTGGGTCAGGGACGTCGCGTTCACTCCTCGCGCGGAATCGGCGATATTTATTTAGGCTGCAGGAGGAAATTTCGATGAGCTCTGGAGCCCATTTTCGCACATGTCCAGGCGGCGCGAGTCAGCGAGTTACAACACGGAACAATATCAAGAGAAATAAAAAAACAACCCAGTCAGGAGTACACTTCGGCTACAAATCGCGGCTCCTGTTGCCTGCTCACATCATTACATGCGGTCTTTTGTTTGCTATTTTACATTCAACCTATCTCGTGGTGGTTGTCAAGGGGGGACCTCCAACTCGTAGCTTTAGCCACCGGGGGGGGTGAGTGGGGGGTGGGCACCCCCTGCCCCCGTCCCACCTGCCCCCCTGCCCTCTCGCCCACCGAGCGAAACAACAACAACAACAACCACCATCCGTCACCTGTTGGATGCACGCCTGCACGAGGTTTTCCGGGAAGACGTTTCGAATGAGGTCGAAGATCGCGTCGACGCTCGACACCGCCTGGAGTTCCTCCTCGTCGTGGCCGTGGTCCGGTTTGACGCTGGGGTCTCCCGGGTGGATGGCGAGCACCAGGACGATGCCCAGGATGGCGGCCGTCACGGACGTGGCCAAGTAGTAGATCAGGGCCCGGCGGCCCATGCGGCCGCTCGACTGCGCGTCCAGGCCCGACAAGCCTGGGGGGGTGGCATCACCGCCACGTGACACACTGTGACGTGACGTGACACACCGCCACGTGACACATCGCCACGTGACACACCGTGACGTCACACACTGTGACGTGACACACCGCCACGTGACACACCGCCACGTGACACACCGCCACGTGACACACCGCCACGTGACACACCACCACGTGACACACCGTGACGTGACACACCGCCACGTGACACCGCCACGTGACACACCGCCACGTGACACACCGTGACGTGACACACCGCCACGTGACACACCGTGACGTGACACACCGCCACGTGACACACCGTGACGTGACACATCGCCACGTGACACACCGTGACGTGACACACCGCCACGTGACACACCGCCACGTGACACACCGTGACGTGACACACCGTGACGTCACACACCGCCACGTGACAAACCGTGACGTCACACATCGCCACGTGACACACCGTGACGTGACACACCGTGACGTCACACACCGCCACGTGACACACCGTGACGTCACACACCGCCACGTGACACACCGTGACGTCACACACCGCCACGTGACACACCGTGACGTCACACACCGCCACGTGACACACCGTGACGTCACACACCGCCACGTGACACACCGTGACGTCACACACCGCCACGTGACACACCGCGACGCTCGAGGGTGGCGGCGCTACCTGTGATGAGGCTGGAGACGATGAGCGGCAGGATGAGCATCTTGAGCATTCGCATGAGAATTTCCCCGGGGAAGGAGATGATGAGAATGGTGTTTGGCTGCAGCTGACCGCTTCGACGGAACACAACTCCAAACAGCACCCCCATGATCACTCCTGTCGACAGGTGGTGGGGGGGGGGGTGAAGGGGGGGGCATGTGGGTCAACAGATACAAGAAGTGCTCAAATGTAATGTCAAACAATACGAATAGGTGATGGTCGAGTGGGATTATCTAACAGACGGGCGTGTCCTTATTCTTAGTTTTTTTCGGTAAAGTCACGTAGGTAAAATAAAAGTAAAATAAAAATCACGACGTTTCGGAGGCAACACAAGCTTCCGTCTTCAGGTGGAACCGTCACAGCACGATAGCTGTATCAAGTGAGAGAAATTCCAAGAAAACAGTCCTTGTATATATACTGGTTGAGGGTGGGAGGAGCCAAGGTAGGCCCTGGAAATTATTATTGTGAGGTTCGGTGCGGCTGAAGTGTCCTTGCCTACAGACACGTGGCAATGCACCAGCGGGCCCTGACTGCTGCTGCTGATGAGACAACGAACGTCAAAACCGGTCCAGAGTTGTTTCCTGCATTGAACTCATCTGGCTGAAAAGAAAAAGAAAACCTCTCCCGGAAGGCCGCGTGGCTGATGGAATGTTAATGTGCAGAGACACATTTGGGAAGAAGGAGGAAGACGAGATGGATTGCACGCCCGTTGTTTTGTAACATTCCATGGAGCGTTTGACGCCATCAACTCGACAATCGTCTTCAAACTCTGCCGTTCAGCAGCTTGTTATTGCGTGTTTAAAAAAAAAGTTTTTTTCATTATTCAAGAACTCAAAAAAAGGCAGATACGTTCGAGAAGGGGGTGATCTTGTGTAGCGCGGCACGTTGCCAGGGCAACGTCTCTGAGCCTCGCCTCAACTACAACATTGACGGAGAACCATCGATTGGGAAATGACACTGAAGACAAAAGTGCGATTCGCAAAGAAACGAGCGAAGGCAAAACGAAGTGTTGGTAGCTCACAACCATTCATCCTCATCGTCGTGGTCGGTCCTGTTATCTCTACTGCTGGATGAAAGCCTCTCGGTACCACCCCCCGCAGTGCTGTTCATCGTTGGTGACCGTTTGACGTTTTGGGCCCTTTGCCTTCAAAGTTTGAAAAAAAAATATCCGGCTGCGCTTTGCACGTGCGCGCCCTCCACCGGTGTGCGCGAATATTTGCTTCTCAATCGCGATGACAAAAAAAAACCCACGTGCGTTTCAACACGTGCGTATATGGGGAGCGGTGGTGCAGCGGTTAGCGCTACGCTGCGCTACGAACCCGGCGACACGGGTTCGATTCCCGCTCACGGCCAACACCAGTGACGATTATCTGAACCGGTCCTGGGCCTCCCCTAGGTCGACTAAGCCTCAAATGAGTACCTGGTGCGGTGTGTAAACATCGCCACTGGGGAGACCAAGGCGGTCGGGCGTGGTGCTGGCCACCCAACCCCCTCGTGTACCGTTCTGGCCTTCATAGGTGCTCGCTAACAGCACTTGCCCCTACAGTCTGTTAAGGCTATATGGAGGATGTTTGTTATAAGCACGTGCGTTTCGCCACGTGCGCTTCGCCACGTGCGTTTCGTCACGTGCGTTTAACCACGTGCGTATAACAACGCGCACGGCCGTATCCGTGCGTTCCGCAGACATCCATCGGCAGGCTGCTGACGAGGAGCGTCTCTCGTCCCCTGTGCCCACGGCGTCGCCGTCAAAAATAACTCCGAGCCGAATGTGACCGATCCCATTTGACAGCGCGCAGCGGCGGGGTGATGTTGCTACGTGACAGACAACGGCGGGCAGTGCTCGCGTCCCCGAAAATCGGACTCATCGGCACAGCGGAGTCACCGCCGATTCAGCTGCCAGCGCAGCAGCAGCGATCAATGCGAAAGCCTCGCTCGCTCTCTCAAGAAGCTGCTGAGTGGAGGCAAAGGTAATCGGTCACATCGGGCAGAACCAGGCCTGTAGGAGGGTGGTGGGGGTGGTGGTGGGGGGGTGCAAAGCCATTGGGTAAGATCACGTAACAGGGGAGGCTCTCATCGTGAGAAACCCCCACCCGCCACCTCGTCTGTGAATGGGCGAGGATTATTCCCATTCGTCTCACGTGGGCACGGGGAGCTTCTCCGATGTTGTCACCGCAGTTTTCGATCTAAGCGCTCCTCATTTAGTTTCACGAGGCGATGCTTGGAACGTCAAATGTAGCACAGACAAAACAAAGACCCCCCCCCCCCCGTATAGCCTGAACATGTGTTTTTCGGGGGGGGGGCAGATTGCCGGTTAGCGAGTAGCACCTATGAAGGTTGGTACGGCACACGAAGTGGTGGGTGGCCAACACCACACTCGGTCGCCTTTGTCTCCCTCGTCGCGATGTTTTTTCACACATCGCACACCGGATACTCATTTGGGGTTTGAGTCAACCTAATCCTTGGCGAGTGTCAGGACCGGTGCAGATGAATGGTCACCGGTTGTCGTTGAGCCGCGAGCGGCAATCGTGAGCTCGGTTCGCCGGGGGTTGGTGGCGTAGCGCTGCTAGGAACCGCTGCGCTACCGCTCCATACCTACAGCAGCAGCAGCGGCACCGGGACGTGAATGGGGCCGTGGTGGGAGTAGTCCCAGGCTCGATCAGGAGAAGTCCTCGCGAGACGCGGGGGTCAGTGGCCCCCTAGCGAGGCATCGCCGCCTTTGCCGAACGCGCGCTTTCAAAGAAGCCCCGCGAAATAAACTTTTGAGCCAAATCTTCTTGGTTCTTTCGGTAAAGTCACGTAGAAGGGAAATGATAAAATAATAAAAATAAAACATAAGAATTTTTTTTTTACTTTTGTTATTTTATTATTTCCCTTCTACGTGACTTTACCGAAAGAATCAAGAAGATGTCTTCGTCTCTGTCTCGACGAGTGTCAGTCTGAAGGCCGCCCCAGGTGCGCTGATGTTTGCTGCACGCGGGGAACGGTGGCGCAGCGGTTAGCGCGCTACGATATTTGATTCCCGCTCACGGCCACCAACACCCGTGACGATTACCTGAACCGTGGTGCTGGGCCTGGCCCTAGGTCGACTCAGCCTAAAATGAGTACCTGGCGCGGTGTGTAAAACATCGCGTGTGCACGTGTAACAAAGACAAAGATCCCCCCATATAGCCTTAGCAGACTGCTGGGGCAAGTGCTGTTAGCGAGCACCTATGAAGGCCGACACGGCACGCGAGGGGGTGGGTGGCGATGTTTACACGCCGCAAAAGGTACTAATTTGAGGCTGAGTCGACCTAGGTGAGGCCCATGACCGATTCAGATAATCGTCACTGGTGTTCGCTGTGAGGTTCGTCGCGCAGCGCTCTAATCGCTACTACACTACCGCTCCTCCGCGTGTAACACGTGTTGACACACTCACTGGCATCTAAATGCTAATGTACATCGGCTCTATTCACGCAGAGAGGGAGTTAAGTGATGGGCGCGTCACGTGGGTCGTGTTAACAATCATCGGGCGCGTGCAGCGTGGAACGAGTTAACCTGTATTTGTACATTTGATGGTACGGTGGGTGGCGAGGCTTGGAGTTTGTGAAACCGCGCTCTCTATATAAACACGATATTACTCTACACGCCTATACATTTATTGTTCTAAACAAAAATACTTCGTACAAAAAAACTATAATGATGATGGTGGTCACGTAAAAATATATATATTAGTCAGAGTAAGTAACAGAGGGCGGAGGGAGGGGTTGCCAAGAGGAGGCTGGTCACTTTAGATTGAAAACGAATTTCTTTAAAGCTGGTTTTGGTGTGTTTAGTTAGTAGTCATATCCCCGCACCCTCCGATTATCCTCCCAGGACTCCAGGAGGATGGAGGAGTCACCCCCAGGAGGTTGGATGATGGAGCACTCACTCGAAGGAGGATGGAGAATGGAGCACTCACTCCCAGAAGGATGGAGCACTCACTCTCAGGAGGATGGAGGATTGAAGCACTCACTCCCAGAAGGATGGAGCACTCACTCTCAGGAGGATGGAGGATTGGAACACTCACCCCCAGGAGGATGGAGATTGGAGGACTCACTCCCAGGAGGATGGAGCACTCACTCTCAGGAGGATGGATGATGGAGCACTCACTCGAAGGAGGATGGAGCACTCACTCTCAGGAGGATGGAGAATGGAGCACTCACTCCCAGAAGGATGGAGCACTCACTCCCAGAAGGATGGAGCACTCACTCCCAGGAGGATGGAGATTGGAGGACTCACTCCCAGGAGGATGGAGATTGGAGGACTCACTCCCAGGAGGATGGAGCACTCACTCTCAGGAGGATGGAGGATTGGAGCACTCACCCCCAGGAGGATGGAGATTGGAGGACTCACTCCCAGGAGGATGGAGCACTCACTCTCAGGAGGATGGATGATGGAGCACTCACTCGAAGGAGGATGGAGCACTCACTCTCAGGAGGATGGAGAATGGAGCACTCACTCCCAGAAGGATGGAGCACTCACTCCCAGAAGGATGGAGCACTCACTCCCAGGAGGATGGAGATTGGAGGACTCACTCCCAGGAGGATGGAGATTGGAGGACTCACTCCCAGGAGGATGGAGCACTCACTCTCAGGAGGATGGAGGATTGGAGCACTCACCCCCAGGAGGATGGAGATTGGAGGACTCACTCCCAGGAGGATGGAGCACTCACTCTCAGGAGGATGGATGATGGAGCACTCACTCGAAGGAGGATGGAGCACTCACTCTCAGGAGGATGGAGAATGGAGCACTCACTCCCAGAAGGATGGAGCACTCACTCCCAGAAGGATTGAGCACTCACTCCCAGAAGGATGGAACACTCACTCTCATGAGGATGGAGAATTGGAGCACTCACTCCCAGGAGGATGGAGATTGGAGGACTCACCCCCAGGAGGATGGAGAATGGAGCACTCACTCCCAGAAGGATGGAACACTCACTCTCATGAGGATGGAGAATTGGAGCACTCACTCCCAGGAGGATGGAGGACTTGAGGATGGAGTATGGAGGACTCACCGGCGATGGTGAACGTGAGCAATGTGTTTTTGCAGTAGCAAATCCCTCTCCTGCGATGACGCCAGGAGCCCAGGATGCGCTCTGGCCGCTTGGGGTGGCGGTCCTCCTCGCACGCGTTCACCTCCTCGGCGTGCTTCGGCAGAGTCATGGTGGAGAAATCCCTGCGAGACGCGACAGAGAGAAAGAAAGAAAGAAAAGAACCCGCCGAGGGTTCTCGCATCGGACGAAATGACAACCGAGCGGAGATCCGTTCCTGGTTTTGTTCCGCGCGAGACATCACCGACGTCGGCGGAACATCCCTGGTTCGCTGTGGCTGGCGGGGGGGCGGGGGGGGCGGGGGGCTGTTTTGTCATTCGTAATCGTTCGCCAGCAAACTCTTCACGGTGACAGCCGCACACAAAACGCCACCGTGGCTCGTGAGGTTGCAGTCTAAGTAACCCGCCGCCCACCGTCTCCCCACCCACCCCCCTCCCCTCCTTCTTTGTGTGAATTCTAAAGCTCGGAGAGGTCACGCAAGGCCACTATTCTGAACCCATCATCAGCAAGCGGCCCAACCCCTCAACCCCATGCGTCCGGATGCGTACAGCCTCGTGAGTGGTGGTGGTGAGATCATCGCACGCTCTCTGCGTGCAGAGTGGAGGAGGGCCAACCTCCCACAATGGCACTCCGTCAAAACAATATGATACTCTTGGGTTTTTTTCGGTAAAGTCACGTAGGTAAAAAATAAAATTAAAAATTACTAAAAGTAATACTATAAATAAAATAAAACAATATGAATGATGACAGTGATCATGATTTTAGGTTTTATCACTGCCCCGCTGAGACTATGAATGTTCGAAATCGGTCCAGAGTTTGCTTGTACTGATTCCACGCCTGCTCATGCACTCCCAGAGGTGAGATGTTAACTACCTCGCCTGGTGTACAGGAGCTCGTGGGTTCTATCCCGACCCTGATGCTTGCTCATATTTAGAGTTTGCGTGTCTCTCTCCCCCCGTGAACGCGTGGACCTTTCTCCGTGTCCTCCGGGTTTTCTCTTCCACATTTAGAATTAACATCACGCGTTTCGAGTGTCTGGCTGCTATAGATTTTCACGCGATGATAAGCAACTTCCTTGAGCAATCATTTGTGATATCCTGCTCGCTTCTGACGAACGAGCTACATAAGCTCATTGGGCCCTGACCTGGCAAAACATTTTATAAAAAATTGTTTCGTTTTAGGGCAACGTACGGTGGGTGGGTTGCGTAAAAAAACAATAATTGTATCTTTTATGTGGTGAGATGAAAGTGGGAAGCAGTGATAGTGTCTGCTTGTCTATATGACGGGCCTCGTATGGAGCAGTGATCACCCCACGTGGAACTTCTCATCTGTGTCGGCAAGTCACGAACCTCTCTCAGAATCGCACTTTTCATAGTCGCTTCCTCTTGCTAATGGTAATCTACTCAATACTGATCAGTAACTTAATCAAGAGTTTCAACTATCAGCTGATACGGAAAGTCACGAACGTATCTTAAAATCACACTTTTCATAGTCGCCTCCTCTTGCTAATGGTAATCTACTCAATACTGATCAGTAACTTCATCAAGAGTTTCAACTATCAGCTGTTACGGCAAGTCACGAACCAATCTCAAGATCACACTTTTCATAATCGATTCCTCTTGCTAATGGTAACATACTCAATATTGATAAGTAACTTAATCAAGAGTCTCAACTATCAGCTGATACGGCAAGTCCCGAACCAATCTCAAGATCGCACTTTTCATAGTCGCTTCCTCTTGCTAATGGTAACATACTCAATAATCATCAGTAACTTAATCAAGAGTTTCAACTATCAGCTGATACGGCAAGTCACGAACCAATCTCAAGATCACACTTTTCATAGTCGCCTCCTCTTGCTAACGGTAATCTACTCAATACTCATCAGTAACTCGATCGCGAGCGCCAACTATCAGCTGATAGATAAACGCTGTGCTCTAGCAGTTGTGGGAAGGGCGGAGAGAGAGACAAGAGCGTGAATGTTAGGAGAGGCGAGGAGACTGCAACCTCTCATCACCTGTGTTACCTGCGTCTCTCTCATCACCTGCGTCTCTCTCTCATCACCTGTGTCTCTCATCATCTGTGTCTCTCATCACCTGTGTCTCTCTCGTCACCTGTATCACCTGCGTCTCTCTCATCACCTGTGTCTCACTCATCACCTGTATCACCTGTGTCTCTCTCATCACCTGCGTCTCTCTCATCACCTGCGTCTCTCACATTACCTGTGTCTCTCTCATCACCTGTGTCTCTCACATCACCTGTGTCTCTAACATCACCTGCGTCTCTCTCATCACCTGTGTCTCTCTCATCACCTGTGTCTCTAACATCACCTGCGTCTCTCATCACCTGTATCACCTGTGTCTCTCACATCACCTGCGTCTCTCTCATCACCTGTGTCTCTCTCATCACCTGTGTCTCTAACATCACCTGCGTCTCTCATCACCTGTATCACCTGTGTCTCTCACATCACCTGCGTCTCTCTCATCACCTGTGTCTCTCTCATCACCTGTGTCTCTAACATCACCTGCGTCTCTCATCACCTGTATCACCTGTGTCTCTCACATCACCTGCGTCTCTCTCATCACCTGTGTCTCTCTCATCACCTGTGTCTCTAACATCACCTGCGCCTCTCATCACCTGTATCACCTGTGTCTCTCACATCACCTGCGTCTCTCTCATCACCTGTGTCTCTCTCATCACCTGTGTCTCTAACATCACCTGCGCCTCTCATCACCTGTATCACCTGTGTCTCTCACATCACCTGCGTCTCTCTCATCACCTGTGTCTCTCTCATCACCTGTGTCTCTAACATCACCTGCGTCTCTCATCACCTGTATCACCTGTGTCTCTCACATCACCTGCGTCTCTCTCGTCACCTGTGTCTCTCTCATCACCTGTGTCTCTAACATCACCTGCGTCTCTCATCACCTGTATCACCTGTGTCTCTCTCATCACCTGCGTCTCTCATCACCTGTATTATCTGTGTCTCTCACATCACCTGTGTATCTCTCGTCACCTGTGTCACCTGTGCCTCTCTCATTACCTGTGTGAGTCACCTAATGCGAGGAAGAGTCCAGACCTCCGTGTGCCGCGTGAAGGGGCGCGATCTCTCTCCCTGCCGCCCGCCGTGTCTCCCTCGGACTCCCCGGGCTGGGCTTCTTGAGGGACCCCCCCCCCCACCACCACCACTCTACCCCCAGTGGGCTGCTCCCTACCCCCACCCACCCTTCCCGTGGGGGTGGGCGCGCTCATTCCTCCCGGTGGAGTGGGGGGGAGAAATGTCGGGATTGGCAGCGAAGACTCCAATACCGAGTTAGTCTGTGGTGCCTGTAAGAGGGTGATCTAAGGCAAGACTCCCTTACCTTGTTAGTCTGTGGTGCCTGTAGGAGGGTGATCTAAGGTTAGGGATCTAAGAGAGAGAGACGCAAACTCAAAATATACAGCAGCAGGCGTCAGGGTCTGAATCGAACCCACGACCTGCTGTACACCAGATGAGGTAGTTAACATATCCTAGCCACCGTGATGATGATGAGAGAGAGAGACGCAAACTCAAAATATACAGCAGTAGGCGTGAGGGTCGGGATCGAACCCACGACCTGCTGTACACCAGGCGAGGTAGTAAACATCTCTGAGCCACCGTGGTGATGATGAGAGAGAGACGCAAACTCAAAATATACAGCAGCAGGCGTCAGGGTCGGGATCGAACCCACGACCTCCTGTATACCAGGCGAGATAGTTAACATCTCGTAGCCACCTTGATGATGAGAGAAAGAGAGAGACACGCAAACTCCAAATATACAGCAGCAGGCGTCAGGGTCGAGATCGAACCCACGACCTCCTGTATACCAGGCGAGGTAGTTAACATCTCCTAGCCACCGTGATGATGACGATGATGAGAGAGACGCAAACTCAAAATATACAGCAGCAGGCGTCAGGGTCGGGATTGAACCCACGACCTGCTGTACACCAGGCGAGGTAGTTAACATCTCCAAGCCACCGTGTCGCCCCTCTTCTGACATCCACATTGCAATTTATTGAGCTTGAGAGGAAGGTCAACGGGGGTTGTCCAAACAACAATCCTCTGGCAGAAGAGGAGGGGGGGGGCACGTGTATGTTCTCTCACTTTGGCCAAGTTGAGTGTGGGTGGGGGTGGGGGGGTGATTTAATTGTAGGTGAAATTGCAAATTGAATGGAGACTATTCGCTTGAAGATGCAGTCCATATGTGGGGAGAAGGTTTCAACATTTACGCTCAGCAGCAGTCAGGGTGATTGAACATGAAAGATAATGATGATGATGATGTTGCCGAATTTCATTGCTAACAGATAGCACACACACAGAGAAAGTAAGGGGGATTCGTGTCAGTGGTCATTCTGACGAAAATGAAACAACGATATTCTTTGGGTCTTTCGGTAAAGTCACGTAGATAGGTTCAAAGAAAATAACAACAACAAAAACTACGACGTATCGATCACAACACATGTTGTGATCGAAACGTCGTAGTTATTTTTTTGTTATTTTCTTTGAACCTATCTACGTGACTTTACCGAAAGACCCAAACGATATGAATTCCTGCAGTCACGACAGCTTTAAGTCAAGATAAAAGAACGATATTAGAGAGAATTATCATAATCAACTTCATATATCCGAATTCTCGCTGGCGGTGAGAAGTGATGGGAGTTCCACACAATCGAGTTGTGGACTCAATGTACCGCAGGAAGGGGGGAGCGGGGGGAGAGACATTGGCCTGGGAAATGGGGATGATGGTTCGTCGGTGGTGTTTGTGACTCCTCAATTTTTAATTCTCGTCCGAGGATCAGAAGCATTGTCGCCCAGCCTGGGTTGGGAGGGAGCTGTCAGGTGAATGCGGCGTTAACACCGCAGCTGGGCTGTCGCGACAAATATTACACTGGTCAACAAAGAAAAAATTCTGGCCTGGACTTTGCAGTTGTTTTAGACTAATTTCAGGGTGCTGATTCCAAATCTGATCCCAGATTTGCTCTATCACATCTCATTTTTATGCTATCGGCATACCCCATTTCATTGATTTTACCCGAAATTAACTCTGTCACTTATGATTGCAAGTTGTTGCGAGTCAGTGACTGCTGTATTTTTAGGATAGTGTGTTTATAATATAATTTTATGTAGATATCCACATTTATTTAATATTTTTCTTCTGCAGTCTGTTATTGAAAATGCAATATTTGATATCTCAAAAACCTGATGTGATAGACAAAAACTGATGCCAGATTTGGAATCAGCA